TGTGGTCTGAAGCAGACTCTCCACCATTGCTGACAGCAGTGGAAAAAAGGTCTGGATTCAGAGTGTGTCCTTTAAGCTTTGGCTCCAGCACTGACAAATGTTAAGACATACTCAATTTCATTCTATGACTTACTCTTTCTCACTGAGAAGTTGAGAATAATAGTTACTTACTGTTGCTACAAAATATATTGTTGTAAACTTGGCATCAAAACCAGCATGTGTTTATAAGTGTACAACTTGCATCTGAGGTCATAAATCCACTTGTTCTTGACTGAATTTATAATGTTATATGACTTGGAGCTGGTAATCCATTTCGGTCATATAATATTGGCTTGAATAATCAGGGTCACCATGTTTGATACTCAGTACTGAACACAAGCAAGAATAAAAAGTACTGAGTATACTTTTATTAAACACTTTAAGATTTTATCTATAGTTAAATTATGTAACAACATTTTTTAAATGGAACAATCAGGTTCAGTTTTATTTTTCTGATAAATTGAAAATTGAGCTTCAAGCTTTCAAATAATTTAGTGAAAACAAAAACATAGGGGTAGAGATTATCACTTTTAAATGAGACATTATTCTGAAATTTGGCATATGATTATAGTTTTATGCCTATTTACCATCTTATATTATCAATACTGTGTAACAATTACTAAGCTGGACCCTTTGATGCACCACATAACAGCTTAATACTACAAGTTTTGTCCTGTTACTGACTCCATTTTACAGATGGGAACACTGAGGCCTAGCAACTAACTAACCTTATTTGTGCTCAATGAGCTATAATTGAGGTAGGGAAAATCAATTCATATATGTCTAGAATACATGTATGTTCCAGAATCCAAACTGCTACCCAATACAATGAATCCTGAAAAAAAAAAGTGTGCTTAGAGGCTGGAGAAAGGCTTAGCAATTAAGATCACTTTGTGCTCTTGCAGACTACACTGATTCAATTCCCAGTACCCACCTGATGCCTCACAGCTGTCAGTTACTTCAGTTCAGGAAGTTGATGCCCTCTTCTGGCCTCTTCAGGCACTACATGCATGTCAAGGACTAAGGCTATTCTATATCAATAAAAACTTGAGAGTCAGATATCATTGGGGTAAGAACCTGAATGATCAGAGAAGGGGCGGAGAAACCACCAGTGACATCCTATCTCTTCCTTTTCTCTTTCCAAAAGGCTAACATCCTCTCAGCCCCACCTTACTATTTCCTGTGCCCTGTCTTGGTCCTCCCAAACCTCTATGGTTAATTTTGGTCAGCTAGTGGATACCTCTGCCCTCTGACTTAAAGCAAACATTATTGTCAGAATGACATCAAAATATCACACAACATTGGACACACATGCAGGCAATACAAATACACATAAAATCAATTTCAAAATAAATCTTTATCAAAACTGTGCACAGTTTCGGCAGATTAAACAAATTACCGCAGCATGCGTGCACTAAATAGCATTTGTTTCTTAGTTATTGTAGTTAGAAAATCCTAAATATGGTTACTAGCAGATCCAGTAGTGACAGTGTGTTTTCTGGCTCACAGATGGCCATCTACTTACTATGTCCTAGTGTCAGTGAAGAGAAGGGGGTGCAAAAGGGAGCAGGGAGGGGACAAAGATAAAAAAAGAGAGTGAGAGACAGAGATGGAGTGACAGAAAGAATATCTCTCTCAAGGGTACACTAATTTCATCCATGAGTGTCCTACAGTAACCACCTAATCACCACCAAACACTTTGCCTTCAGAATTCATCATGTCTAAGTTTCTTCCCCTGTTATCTTAAGAAAATACCCTGATAGAAACAATTAAATAGGGAAAATGTTTACTTCAGCACTCTTTGAGATTATAGTCCATTATGGCAGAGACACCACAGCATCCACAATACAGACAACACCCATGCTTGTTCTCAGCTCACTCTCCTTTCCTTTTAGCTCAGGATCATTTGACTATTTTCACCCTACTTATTTTTGCTTCATTTTAGGGCAATATTATTTTCCTTGCAGTGCTAAATATATAATATATTAACAGATATATCAAGGAAAAAGCTTCTCATGATGCCTACAACAGCAATAACAACAAAGTTTGCAAAATGCTGCGTTAATCACATTTGGAAAAGCTTCTTAACCACATAACAAAGAATTTAATATGTAAATATTCACCAAGGCTATATAAGAAGCTTCTTTAATATACAATGTTCCCAAATCATTTGTCAATGCAACAATTTTATTTTCTTTTCCCAGAAACCTATCAACATCCTAAGGATAAGAATGCCTGTAGAAAACAATTTGGGAAATGCTATTTTCATGTGATGTATAGATCATTTTTAGTACTTTAGGCACATATTTGGAGAAGCTGTAAAACCATTGGCTGGATCATATGTGATTAGTAAAGGTCTCTTAGCACTTTATTGCAGAAAAATTCATAACAGCATTTTGTCCTTTTACCCTTTCTTTCTTTGATTTTTCAATTTGTGCAGTCTTCTAAACATTTTCTTTATTCCACCTGTGAAAGAGCTGGATACATATATACAACCCTGTGTAAATGGAATAAATGTGAAATGGATTTGGAATGCAAATGAAGATGTAAATGCAAGTGTAATTGAGGGTGTATAATTGAAATTCTCAGAATGAAGGCTTGTTTGTAGATGGTCATTCAATGGGTAGGAATAAGGAAGCCCACCCTATGAGTACTGCGGTTTTGAAGACTACATACCACCTTCTGATTGAAAGTGAGACTTAAGGAAGCAGAGGGATTAAATTGGCAACACCTTTCAAAAGTGGTGTACCACTAAATAAAGAGTGACCTTTGTAGTCATCATTACTTCTTTTATTTGGCCATAGACTATGCCTTTTGATGTGGTTTTGCTCCTACTGCATTATTTTTTCAAAACAAAATGAACAAAAAACAAAGCTTTTTTTAAAAAAAGAATGTATTTAGTAGCCTACATTTTGCAGAAAAAACATTAAAATATTCACATACTTCTTAATTTCATTTATGATTAGTAAAGTGGAAATAGTAAATACAATGAGGAAGCAAACACAATTTTCATCCTATTTTCTCTCATTGGCTATCTTATGCAGAGCAGGGTCAGGTTCTGCATTTTAGAATTTGCCATATCCTTTAGTAATAATCCCTTAAAAGTCACTTGTCATTGCACAAGTTAGAGCACTCCTTTGTAAAGCAAGTGTCACAGCAGGAATGCACTTTCAGACTTCAATTATAGTGGTCTACAAGGAAGCAGACTTGCCTTTGAGTAGAGTGAATTTACAACTGAGAGCAATGCTGTTCCAACAGGGGCTGGTTCAAGCAGGAGAGTACACACACAGTAAATAAATGAATCTTCTTTCCCTTGGCTAAATAACTTTTTAAACATACTTGTCACCCTTTCTCCCAACCTGAGAAACATTGTTTTGCTGTTACTGTTTTGCCCCTGATACATACTATCCCTCCCTAGCAATCTTTTGGTGTTATTTTGCCAATTGTTTTGCATAGCCTTCCATCCTTTTTTTTCATTTCAAACACCAGAAAGATGATAGAGGTTGAGGCTCCGGGGGAGTTGGGTCAGAAAATGAAGAGGTTTCAGCATGGAATCCCCTAGATGGACGGCTTCCTTCAGTTTCCCTATGTATGTGCTTCTGTCCTGCCCTCTCCCTCCCTAACCGAGGGCTGGTGAGGTGGGGGAGGGCGCAGAATCCTCTGTTTCATTTTGGTACTTGGTTCAGCAGGAATTGAATCTACAGTAAGTAATCATTCTAACCTAAATACAGAGGAGAAAGCACAATTGTAAGCCAGAGGCTGCATTTTTGGTTCAATCACTTTCAGTGCAAAATAAGCCCATTTATTTTGGTTTTGGTGGGAGCAGCGAAATTTGATCCACCTGAGTGATGTGTCAAGAATCTGTTCTTCCCTCTGTTTCTCTGCCATGTCCTCAACTCTTCTTTTTCTCATGTGAAACAGATGTCCTGCTCACAGGCCTCCTACTTGCTTTTGTCCCCTTTCCACTGGGAGCAGATGAGCCCACAACCTTCCTTCTCAGTCCTGAGCTTACTGATTTGCAGACAGAACAAGGGAGCTTGCCTGGTTAGAGTCTGGCTCCTGACTAAATCTTGACTTCTGAGAAATAGATCACTTCTTTTAGCAGTGTTGGGTTTCACCCAGCTTGAGACTTCAAATGCCATTTAAGTAAAATTTCTTAACTTCTTTTCCTGGCAGTCCTGAAGTTCAGAGGACTCCTTTGCACGGTTAACTATAACAAACCCTGGGATCTACACTTCTCAGACATCATTTGTGTACCCCTAACCCTAGAGTTTCCATCATGTATGCAGAAGGTTCAAGCAAAATAGGAACTTAGAAGGTGGCAGGTACCAGGGTGTGGCTGCTGCTTTCTCCCTTTCTCTTCCAGCAGAAGGAGCCACCTTCCAAGGCGGGAGTGCTGGGGGGCGGAGGGGGAATGATTGAGATTGGAGGAGGCAATAAGAAGAGGGAGGGCAAGGGGACGGGCGACGGGGGAGCCCAAGCCAGCCTGCCAGGCTCAGTCTCACACGCGCACCCGCGCGCCGCCACTGTTTGTACACAGTGCGCTCTTGGCCTCAGGCTCGCTCCCCTCCAGCTCACGCTTCATTGTTCTCCAAGTCAGAAGCCCCGCAGCCTTGGCGGCAGAGGTAGCGGCAGGGGCAGCAGCGTGAGCCCGAGTCACTGCTGTCTGCTTCGCCCGCGGTGCGCGCACGGAAGTCGGGGAGCTGGGAACCCGGGAGCCCGCGGTCTGCCCGCTGTGCCTCAGCAGCGCAGTCAAAGCGGGAGGGACACCCTTTCTCTCCGGGCCATCACTCTTTATCGCCCTTCCCAAGATTTTGTTTGGGGAAGCTCTGCGGGAAGAAGACATCTTCTTGAATTTCTGACAGGGGCGGGGTCTACTGCTGTCCGGCAGGGCTACCTCGCCTACAGTGCCCTCCACTATGACCCCAGACCTGCCCGGGTCACGTCTGCGAGGCGGAATCATGAAGCGCTTGGTAGCTGCCTGGCTTTTGGTTGGACTCAGCCTCGGTGTGCCCCAGTTCGGCAAAGGTGAGGTGGCTGGGCAGGGGTCGCTGGATGCGGGACGGGCAGGGAGCGCCTTTGGAAATGCCGCTCAAGAGACCACAGTGGGTCTTCAGTGCGTGCCTGGCTGGAGGGAGCGCCGCGGAGGAGGCGACGCACCCTGGATCCCCTAAGAAAGTGCTAGCAAAGTCCGAGTGGAGTGCCCCAGGCTGAGCCAGGGAAAGGGTGTGATGTAGAAAACAAGATTGAGGGGTGGATGGGGTGTTCCTCCCGGGCTTCCTTCGCCACCTATTCTCTGCGGGACCTTGGCTAGCAAGTGTGAATATTGCATAGGGCTGTGAGAAGACCTGGCAGAACCGAGTGTTTCAAGTGTGCGGGCCATCGTCTAGTTGGTGCTGGAACAGCATGGATAACCGCAGGACTGTAGACTGGTTGCAGAGCTCTGGCGCAGGGCGCGGGTTAAGGGGGTCTGCCAACCAGGACCCAATATTGAGACTTTGTGGGGCCAATGAGATGGCCCCTTGCTTCCTTTCTCCCCCTTCCTCCTTCTGGGCGCATGACTTCAATTACAAAAATTCAACAACTCCCCCCTCTTCTAAACCCCAGGGGGCCTGAGTATTACCATGCACTCCCTCTGGGTGAGACCATAACTCTTGGTAATAGACAGCTGTGCGGTGCAAACCAACCTTCATGTGCCCCCAGCCCAGGAGCCGAAAAGTTGTGCAGGCTGGCTGGTCTGCCTGTGTCTTTCATGGCTTGCATGCAAACAGGAAACAAGCAAATTAAAATAAAACAACATTTTTTTTTTAATGCAGGACTTCTGGAAGTCTCCTTCTGAGTTGTTTTGGTGACTTTCAGATCCTCTGAGAGATTAGATTTGTAAATACTAAACATCATTAGTACCTTACCAGCAGGTACTGAATTGGAGCCAGGAACCCACGGAGAGAAGAGAGGGGGCTTCCAAAATATTGGGTGTCTATGCCCTTTCTGTGTTCACTCAGACAGGCGGCCCTTCTGAGAGATTCATATGTACTACAAGCCTCCACACACAGCATTTAGGGGAGAGCTGTGTGCACTACAAGGATTTAAAACGCTGTGGCTTTAGAAGTATGTGGAATAAAAAATGCGTTGACTCAAATCCATTTGCGATTAGACTAGGCATTGCATGGATACTCTGTACTACACCCATGCACCGCAGATGTGCCATAGAGGACAGTCTGTTAGGGGACAATGCTCCGGAAAACTGGCTTGTGGGCCAGATGCCCTCTTAACCCTCGCTTGGGGACACAGGAGGTAGCTAGTTCAGTCTTCTCAGCTCCCCAGAATTTGGCTGTTTATGCCGGGGCGTAGGAGTGAATATGGTAGGAGTGAGTGTGGGATATATCTTTGCTTCTGTTTTTCAAAATGCCCAGATAGTTACCTTACAAAGGAAGTCGCTTCAGTGAAGGTTAGCCTATGGAAATGATTCCGGAGTAGGTCTCCAAATTTCCAGTGATGAGAGAAAGAAACGGCTCCCAAAGCTGGTATTTTCTGTTTCGTTTATTTCTTGTCTTGATTCCTTCTGTGCTTTGATGCCTTAGCTAGAAGAGAACTGGAAAAGCTGAAGGCACTCTCCTCTCCTCCTGCTATCCCCGCCTTCGCCTTCGTGCCCAACCCAAACAAGAACACACACACACACACACACACACACACACACACACACACACACACACACAGAGAGAGAGAGAGAGAGAGAGAGAGAGAGAGAGAGAGATAGAGATGCAAGCACTTACAAGCACCTACACTGTGCTTCTGCCACTGTTTGACCCATATCAAAGGTGGTTGGAATAGTAGAGGATCTAATGACTGATGGTGCTTGCCACAGGGCTTCTAGTTGGTAAGCCTGGCAACCACAAATTGCAGCTGTCCTGAGTTCTTGAAGATGCCACCGAGGGCACAGCTTATGCCACCAGTCAAGTGAATCAGGGAGATGCTGCCAAGGCTTTCCAATGTGGCCCTCTAGACAAAGCTCCAGAAACCTATTCCCTCCATTCTTCAGCAAATTCATCCTTTGTAAACCACCCTGTGAGTGGAGGGCCAGCACTTCTGGGAGAGAAAGGGGCGTTTTGCATTAGCTCTTTCTGTTAAACCTGCACTTGTCTAATTTTCTTCTTCCAGACCTCTGCAGAAGGCAGAGCTGAGCTTGCCTGATAGTTCAAACAATTAAACTTTTTGAAAACTTACTGACACTCCTGTTAACACTGAATTTTACTTTGCATCTTTCTTACCCTTCCCCCAACATATATCTATAATTTATGGGATGTTTTATAGGAATTAGTGTTTTTTCTTTGTGTGGATTCCAATTTACAAGCACTTATGTCTGGAACTTTATAATAGTAGGTAACTCCTTTTATTAGTAGTCTTTATTTTAAAATTAAACCAATGGATCAGTCAGTTTGAATATTTTATTAACTCCTAAATTATTCATCATTGTGTATTGCTTTAAAAAAATCCAATAACATGCATACAGTTGCAGCAAGCACGTGACATCTTATGCAATCTGTCCCTGTGCCTGCAGTTTGAGCCTGGAGTCTAAGCAGACAGCACAATCTAAAAATTTCTAGATGTGTCCCAAATGCTATGAATCATTGGCATTTGCATTCCTATTTTTTTAATCAATGGTGATCTTAGTTAATTCTACATGAGAAGAAATTAATACCTGAAGAATCTCACTCCAGATGACACTATACTTCAGTGATTAACACAGTGACGCTTAAGCTGAAATAATAGGTTTCTGGGGGGATTTAATTATTGCACTTTGGTGCCTTCATCACCTAATTTGCATGACCATTAACTTTATACTTTAAGAAATAAGTGCTCACATCAGATTCAAGGTGAAACATTTTAAATTAACAGTTAAGTAAACATCAGAGAGTTTGAAACCAGTGTCTGGGCTATGACAGGCAATACCATGATAAACAGCTTTTCCTTTGATTCTGAGAAAGTTCTCATTCTTTCTTAACTGTTTCCTTCAAATTGAAATCTATTTTGTCTAACAATATCTTGTCTGGAAATATCTATATCCATTTGTACATAAATATGATTTGGGGAAATATCTAGAATAAAATTGGGGAAGTGATGTGAAATAATTTGTTCTTCTTCTTCGATCTTAAAGTTACAAAGATTTCCCAAATAGGCAGATGTGGTGCATTTCTGAACACTTCCTTAAATTAAAATGTTTATATTTTTACTAAGTATCTTAAGGTGAATGTTTATAAAACATTAGTATGTAGTAAATTGAATGACAATTTTAATGTTATGAATTTTTACTAGTTATAAAACTCTAGCAATATGCAGGATAAAATATAAATGACTATAATGAAAGAACATGGCTACTAAACACCAGAGAAAACATACTTAACGGGTTTTAGGGACTAAATTACTCCAAACACTTCTTTATTATGATAACATTGTTAACTAGGTAATTTATTCTTGAGATGTTCATCATTTAAACAGATGCTAATAATGTCTTTAACTCTATATGAAATCAGGTGTGTGTGTTCTTTTAAGCCTTTGGAGAGTTTTCTAAAGCCCAAGATAGTGGGGCTGGTGTTGCTTACTGTACACACTTGCAGGTGCTATAGCTTTGAGTATGATTTATGATAAAGCAGTTTTATCATATATTTTCCAAAAAATGTGTAGGCTACTGTATTCAGTTCAAGCCAGAGGTTAATTTTGAATGAAGGGTTTTATGGGGATAATTGAAGGGAGGGAAGGGAATGAGGGAAGGATGTAGTTATATTAAAATTTCAAAAATACACATAAATAATAAATAAAAAGCATAAAATGTGAAAAATAGGAAGTATTACAAATATGCAATTTGTATTAAACCTTCCATCATAGCCATCCATTTACTATTTTTGTTAGCTAAATAGTTTTAAATTTGGCACATTTATGAAAAGCTATAAAGCCAGACATGTTATTCTTACAATTGAGTTCTTAGCTGTGTTTTTAGGAAGATGCCTGGAGTATTTCTTCCAGTCCTGTGATAGTGATGACAGTGAACGCTTCCCTAATCAAAGTAAATGCATTTAAGAACAAAATCAAAGGAATGCCAATGTGAAGTGGGATAATCAGTAAAATGTTTTGCATGGTTACTCTAGATGCAAAATCACCACTTAATTGTTGCTGAATGTACGTATAAAAACCTTTGGTTCCAGACTTGTGGAAAGGAAAAGACTGAAATCCACTGTGCCCTCACCAGCAGGTGTCAGAATAATCAATGGAGATAATTTTAAAGATCTTTGAAAGAAGCAAAAGAGGTAAATAAAAAATATCAGCTTGCATATCTACATAAAACACTCTATGATCAATGAAACTAACTTACTTCTCATCAGTCCCCGAGAAAGTCTGAAGGGGTAAATTGTCAGACTGATAGCTTTAAATGTAGAATTTTAACTTAGAGACACAGGGACTGCAAACAAGAACCGCACTGTGGAGAATCCATCACTTTTTCAAGGTGTTTATTAGAGACTTCCAAGGAAATAGATATAGATGTGGATGGACCTGTGGTCAAACAAATATTCCTGGTGTTTCTAGCATGACTTCTAAGTTTCTTCTCAGTGCCTTCTCTAACTTTCATATGGATATGTTCTGTTATACTGATTTCCATTTATTTACACATCCATCTGTATCTCTCTACACATATGTTATATGGAAAATTCTGAGTACCTTATTCAGTGAAGAATATTTAAGAAAATATAGTCAGAAAGGAAATTTTCTTCATTTTTTAAATGAGAAACAAGCTTGTTTTACATGTCAATCCCAGTTCCCTCTCCCTCCCCTCCTCTCCTGCCCCCAACTAACCCCCTATCCCATCCCCCTTTTCTGCTCCCCAGGGAGGGTGAGGCCTTCCAGGGGGGAATCACATCCAGTATAAAATGAATTTGACATTTTGTCATCATAATTAAAAGACTGTAAATTTACAAAACATTATGAATTTGTCACATTTCTTCTTGGATGGATAAAAATGTAAATGAGAACATAGT